CATTACATATATAAACGAAATTAAAGTAAGTGAGGGCGGTGGAAAGGGACCATTTAAGTGTCCACCATAAAGAAATGGTTGCAGACACTAATACATCACCTCTGTGTTACACAGCTATTAAAGGGGACATTAAGACCATGCACCAGTGCCACAAGGAAATGATTTTATACCCCAAAAGCCCAATATTAACTCATGTGGATGCTGAAAGAAAATACATCTTTCCTGACGAAAATTACTGTGAACTCTAGAGGTTTCCTTGAAATCCTTCACATTTAATGAAACATCTCAATAACTGACAAATTTTAAGTGACAGCTGAAATAAATGCCTAATGCTGACATTGTCAGAGACAAAATTAGTCATTCTCTTCAGCGATGTCCAAGTGTACTGTTCTGTTGCTCATTTGGTGCTTATCTGACATTTACATTATTACTTATCTAACATCTATATTATTTATATTATTTGCATCCTCAAAGATGCTCTTTTATCCCCAGGCTCTTGGTTTAATCCTTTCAACAAGAAGCTTACTCTCAAGCCCTAAATGATGGGAAATGTCTTCCATCTTTTGTCAGTTTTTGACTTAGAAAATAGGTGCCTAGTTTCACATGATGGATATTGGAAGGATAAACGTATCTTTTCGTTTAAAAAATTTTTAATGTTAAAAGTTTGCAGATGTGTATGTGTGGGTACACACACACGTGTGGGAGAAAGAGTGGAAGGCCATACGTCAAAATGTGGTGCCGTCGGGGTTATGGGACAGGTAAAGTTTATTTGTATTTTCTTCTTTTTGCCTGTATTTTCTACAACAAACATGTTACTTATTTATAATGCAAAACTCAGTAGAGCTTTTTGATCACTCACGGCCACTTTCTAAATAATAAGTAATAAAAACAAGATGGCAAAGTCAAGTGCAGGAAAACCCATTTCGTTCTGCCGTGTATTCTCATCCACCTCAACTCTCCCATTTGGAAACTACTGAGGGATCAAAGGCATTTAAAACCGATATTCCGTGTCGACTGCTGAACAGGATATAAGAAAACAGCATTTGGGCGTTCTGTTTTTAATTATTCTCCAGAACTTTTAAGAAGTGCAGATGTATAAGACATTCTGATTCTACATGGTCATTTATTTAGGGCAAAATCTTTACTCTCTATTTTACACGTATTGAAAGTAATTTTTGTATTGAAAGTAAGACTAAAAATAATTTTTAAATGGCAGTATATCGGCTCTAAAACCCGGAGGGAAATCTTAGGTTCTAGTTACGTAATGATATTCTCCTAATTTGCCAAACGTATAAAATTTCATAGCTAAAAAGAAGTACTTCGGGATCAGAGAACACCGATTCCAATTCAGTGATATCAATATAGATAGCAAGCTAAATTACCAGTAAATTAAACCCAGTGCCAGACGAGTTGTACTATAAAAATAAATTGTCAGGGAAACGCAAATCAAAACAACCACAATGAGATACCACCTCACGCCGATTAGGATGGCCACTGTCAAGAAAAGCAGAACGTGACAGAGGCTGGTGAGCACGTGGAGTAACTGGAACCCTTATGCACTGCTAGTGGGAAGGTAAAACGGGGCAGCTGCTGTGAAAACCAGTTTGGCGGACCCTCAGAAAATGAAAGATGGAACTGCCATTCGACCCAGCAGTTCCACTTCTGGGGACAGGGCCAAAAGACGTGAAAGCAGCGACTCGAACAGATATCTGCACACCATGTTCACAGCAGCATTATTCACAACAGTTATTGTGAAAAGTGAAAACAACCCAAATGTCCATTGACGGATGATGGAAAAACAAAATGTGGCCTATACAAACAATGGAATATCATTCAGCCTTCAAAAGGAAATTCTGACACATACCAGAGCATGGATGAACCTGGAGGACATTTGGCTCAGTGAAGTAAACCAGTCACAAAGGACAAATATTGTGATTCTAGTTGTTTGAGGTACTTAGTCAAACTCAAGGGCAATAGAAAGGTATCTGCCCGGGGCTAGGGGAAGAGGGCACAGGGAGTTGGTGTTTAATGGGGACAGTTTGATTTGCAAGACAAAGTGAGTTCTGAAGACAGACGGTGGTGATGGCTGCACAGTATGGATGTACCACAGCCATGGAACCGTGCACCGAAAAATGGTTAAGACGGTAATTTTGTTACGTGCGTTTTACTACAATAAAAACTGGAAGACAAATGAATATGGTGCTGTCGGGGAACACTAATCATTTTTAAAGTAATGATAAATGATAATCAGAATTGATATCTAAATGATATAAATGATAACCAGAACTGCCTCCCAGAACGGAAAACGTTCATTAATGGAAAACCAGGCCAGTGATCCGTAGCGTGCTTAATAACAAGGTGCCAGCGTTCCCTTCTTAGTGTTGACAGACACGCCGCATCCATGTAAGATGTTCACATTAGGGAAACCGGGTACAGGGGACACGAGAACTGTCTGTACCACCTCTGCAGGATTTCTCTAAATCTAACGTTACTACAAGATAAGTTTGTTTTTAAATGAGTTTTTAAAAGCAAGCAACAGCTAAAAAAAAACGAGGTAGAATTAATTCCTATATAGAAGACAAAGACAACATAAGTATACTAGGAAAATTGACAAAGCAAGCAGCAACATGTGAATGCCTACAAGACGGCTGCAGATGTGAAATTTTTATTTTTATTGCACTGTTCAGTGTGGCCTCGCTATTGGCTCATCATCCACTAATTGCAAAAAAGGCAGGCTGTTGGATTTAATATTGCAGCATTATTTCCTTAATGATTCTGGGTGCATTTTTCCCCTTAGATCACAAATGTTGCTTCTCGTGGATACAGTGTGAGCTTCCTTCTGCCAATTCATGATGTTTTATCTCTGATGAGTTGGTTTTAAGTTTGCGAGCATCCTGCTTCAAGTCAGTAGTGAGCCCAGTTTTGAGCTCAGTGGCCTCCTACGCAGTACGACCCAGACCAGGCAGGAGCCAGCGCCCCCCGTTTTCTAGCTGTAACATGGGTGCACTGGATATAAATTTACTTGGGGGCACGTAGGCTCCTGCACAAACGTGGCGGGTCACCTTAGCCACCAGAAGCCCGGGTTCCATGTGCTGTAGTCATTAAGAGAAAGGGTCACAAAACACTTCAGTAACCAAGTGGTGGGAAGTGACTGGCGAAAACGTCTTGCTTCGTTACGAGTCTAATTAAATCCTACGCTCAGAACAAAGTGAAAACAGCTTTCCTCGGAAAGATGGCTTGAAACAACTAAGTTTTATTCCCCGGCCCAGCTTTTGTTACTATGTAAAAACTGAAACTTGTGACTTGTAGCAGAGTAGAAGACACAGTCGCTGTTAAGTACTCTGCAGGAGGGAGGCGCGACTTGGGGTGTCGTCTCTCCCTGCCTTGCAGTCCGGGGGCCGAGTACCTAGGGCCTTACGGCTGCAGGTGCCAGGGGCTGGGACTCAGGGGCACAGCTTTTCTTTTCTCTGCAACCCGAGGTCTAATGGTTGGCTCGCTTTCGAGCCAACTAATAGTCCTCCTTAATTTCTCCAGCACGACCTTAACTTGATATGAAGCACTCATACAAGGAATGGTGGCAGCCTTATTGTACTCTGGGCAGGGGATAAAACATTTCACTTAGGAGGAAAAAGCCATCGACACTCAGTAAGCAACACTGCCACCTAGTGGATTGGGGACACACCACCAAGACTTCCAAGACCAGGTGAGAATTGTGAGCTGATTTTACTGGTTTAAATTTTCACCATAAAATGTCACTTTTGAGACGCTGGTCTTCAGAGAATCTCAGATTTTGGGAAGTATATGTATCTCTGAAATGCATAAATGAGCTTTCTCTGCTCTTTTGGGTAAAGAGCGAGTCTTGGTTTGGGGGAGGTTGTTTGGATTTTAACAGACCATCAATTCTCAATTTCGGAGTTATGAAACGTGGGGCGACCCGCCTCCCTGAGCGTCCGTCACTCTCGCACCTTGTCTGACAGTCTAAATAGCAACCCCTGCTCACGCTGGATGGTTTACAAAGAAGCAAAACTCGGCTGCACAAGAATTACATCGAGGTCACGCATTTCCTCCTGTGGTTACAATCGAGGGTGCCAAGTATTCACACTCCACTTGAATTCCTGGAAAAAAGCATCAGAATGCGCCAGTAACAGTTTTGCATAAATCTCTGCATAACCCGATTCTTAGGACTGCACAGTAACGGAAGATTCTGGCGTGAGGATGTGGGCACGCCATCCTTAGCAATTCTTCTCAAGGCTTTAATTCTTCTTTCTACCTGGGTGTTGCAGGAGGTGTGCTGACTTGACTTCTGTGAGCATACAAATGAGACTATTTAGTGAAACACCTGGCTGAAAAAATAAACTTATCCATGTAACATATTGTTAATAACCGCAATCTCAAATCGGCATCTCTGTCGTGACTGAGATTTCAGATTCTGGGTTAAGTGCTCTGCTCCTTGGAGGACCCACAGTGGTTATGGACCTTGCTGATGGTTCTGGATCTCACCGCGAGATTCCTGGCTGTATGGTTGGAGGCACTCGCGGATTGTAGAATGCATGGGCCGACACAGTCCTCATCAGACCAGAATCTTGGCAAATAATGAACTCAGTTACGGATTTCGGGGAGAACCACGTTCCGAGAAAGAGGTATACACGTGTAGAGCGAGACGCTGAATTAAAACACTTGGCGGTTGCATTTTTTTTTCCGGTAGACAAAACCGAATGTTTCGATCCTGAGAACCTGAGACTGTCCAGGTAAACAACATTCTGCGTGGAGGACTTGCGCGACCGAGCCGTTCCCCAGAGGAGCCTGCACTGGGCAGTGGGGTGCTCCCTGACGCCCTGTGGCCGGTCTCGACCCGCTGGGTGTTCACCACGACTGCGGTGACCAGGCCTCGTGAAGCCGGTGGCCTTCGCCGCACATGGCGCTGCTACCTGGGCATCCTGAGGCCAAAGCGACGAGAGACGCTAGGGGGGCCTTACAGTAACTCAGACGCGATGCCAAGGTCATCTCCAAAAAAGTTTATTAGCATGATTAAAAACATTTTCTTGAATAATGACAGAAAGAATTTCTAAACATGAAAGGGTATCAGTGGCTATGCCTTATAACCAATGTTTGCAACTGAATGACGGACACCTTTACTGCCAGTCTCTGTTTTACTAAAAACGATCCCTGTTTATGGGCTCCGCGTGAAGTCGTGACTATTGCTTTGACTGGGAGCGAGTCCCCACTGCAATTAAGTATAAAAATATCTTCCGTAATTGGAGTGAGACCTGCATTACTGAGTAAGAGTTGATAAAAATCCTCAAAGAGCTGGGTTTTGTTTTTTAAAAACATTCCTTTTACACACTACAAAGCAATCATTAGTATTTTGGCTTTTTAACTCCCTACGTGGCATTTGGAGCGGCAGTCCCCAGAGGCCCTCGCGTCGCGTGCGGGAGAATGCAGACCCTCTTTGGGCGCACTCGGGGGCTGTGAGGACACGGCCTCGGCGGCCCGGGCTCAGACTGGTTTGAGGACAAAGACGGCGTCATCCAGGACGTAGTAGTCATTGTACATGTCCCCTTCACACAGGTACGGCAGTCTGGTGAAAGCTTCGATGACGAAACCAGCTTTTCTGAAAACTTCAGGCAGACTGTTCACTTGTTCTTCCCAATTCTGTCCCTTGATTTCCAGGATTTCTGATGGCTTCTCCCACTTGCCACCTACTAAAACAAATGAAAACATTAAGTTAAATTCTTGAACAAACGAGTTAACCACAGAGGGAAGGGGAGGGACGAGCCTTGAGCCGGGGGCTTCGGGGACTCATTCATTGCCCAGGGACCCCGAGGCAGGTGGACAGAGGTGAGGGACAGCCTGGGAAGGGCTAGAGCAGGCGCCCAGGCCCACAAGGCAGTGACATCAGAGCAGAAAGGTGACCCCAAGCCACAGCATCGTCTTCTCTGACAATTTCGGACACCATCTGCCCTCGGGCCGACGGGGTGTAATGGTTCTTGGGTTTGGGAAACTGCTCACTAAATACTGGGACACTGAGCAGGGGAGTGACACGCGACATTTGAAAGAGGGTTTTGGAGAAATGCAGGAAGTTACCACCGATGCATAAACCGGTGCGACGCATTAATTAGAGAGGTTTATTAGGCTGAAAATGAACTGGATTAATGAATGAAAACAGATAATTAGTGAGTTTTTCAAGGGGAGTTGATTGACTCCCTAACTTTTCAGAACAATTTCATAAAAGTTAAGCTTTGGGACCAGAGGCAGAATCCTGAAATGGATGAGTCAACCTAGTATTTCTTGGACCTATGAGCATCAGAGGCTGGAGGGGGGGTGGTCTTCCCGTTCACATGCGCACACACAGAGACATGAGCACACTGAGATACTGGCTCACATAAACCCGGGGCACACGTAAACTTGGGGCACACATAAACTTGGGGTACATGTAAATTTGGGGTACACATAAATTTAGACACTATGATGATGTATTAAAATTACTAAATTCAGATTGGGAGTAATTTTCCGCAAATGAGAAAACATATAATTGACAGGTGCCAAGTACAGACACAGTAGGGGAAAGACAGATGTTCCATGCTTTTCGGGGCCCAGCACCCGAACCCCCTCCTGGAGCCCTGGTGGCAGGCAAAGCCCGGGGGACAGCCTCCCTGCTTCGGCTGCAGCTAAGGCACCTGAACACCACCTGCGCTCAGACCCGCTTGCCCGAGACCCGGGGTGAAGAGCTTGTGGCCCAGAGGGGTGAAAACTGGGGGGGCCCTCTCTGGGGGCGGAGCAGTGGCGCTGAGGCCAAGAGGCCAGGGCAGCAGGAGCTGTACCAGGGAGAGGGTGAGGCCCATGCAGAGGTGTCTCGCGCTTGGTGGGGGCAGTGTGCGCCTCAGCTCGGTCTGACGGCGTGATTTGGGGCATCTTGCTTGGCTGTAGCCCCAGACACGGTTCTCCAGGCCCCCAGCGACTCTGTGAGCTAGCCCCTAATCCTCTCAATAAACCCCCCATTGCTTACGTCAGCTGGGGCAGTTCCTGCTGCTTTTAAGGGAGCCTCTTGAGAGGGGCGAGTGCCAGCTGTGGGGGCTGGGACAACAGGTCCCACACGTTGTCTCATGGCACTTTAAGAGGGGGTCACACAAAACTGGGCACAGCTAGTCAATGGCACACAGCTTACTTCTTCGTTGTGCCAGAGGCAGTTACTGTTCGCTCCTTTCTCTTGTCCCCATGTGAAGGCACCGCCTTCTGCTTCCTAGTTTCCAGCAGTGACTGGCCCGGCACCAGGCACATGGGAGGTGCCCGGGACAGCAAGGGTGGCTCCAGAAACTTAAAATACAGCTGCCCACCGAACAGCACTCCGACCTGCGCTACGTGAAAACCAAACCTCGTCCAGGTCAGGTAACGCTGCGAGGGTTTGTGAAATCTAAATAATAACAATTACCATACGGACGTTGAGAAATGTACTCTGGGCTAAAATCTCAACTTCAAGTGAGGCAACTGGGTTACAATGTTTACGCAATTTCAAAAAGTTCCCGATTATGGTTCCTTAATAAGACTTCCTCTCTTCAGTTCTTCCGTTCCAAAACGAGAGAAGAAAAAAGCCAGGGGCCACCACACACACACGCGCACACACACACATGCACACGCACACGCGCGCGCGCACTCGGAAATGGAGGCCATGGATGCAGGCAAGATCACTCTCGGTCTGGAACTCGGTCTGATTCTGTTTTATGTCGGTAAGGTTCTTTTGTTTTCTCCTGTTTTATTTAAATTGTGTTTTTGTTTTTGTTTTTTGCTTTCTGCATTTATATTTTAAATCCCTCCAGATTACTTTTTAATGTATAACATTATAGAAATTGTCTAAGGTGCTGAGTTTCCTTTTCCCCCAGAGAAACGGGTAATGAAAGATTAGCTGAGAAAGTTTCATGTTAACGCTGAAACGCCCTTCGCTGCTACGCTGCGTTGGGGGGGCGAGCGCCCCACCAGGGGTTGAAAACACCCTTCGAAGCGGTGCCAGCGACAGTCTCCTGCAGACAAACGCAACATCTGCTGAATATTTTCAAAGAACAATGTTTCTGAAAAGCTGAACTTCTGTAAATTAAAAAGCACTTATCAAAAAGGAAAAAAATAAAACACTGCCATGGCTCCCTTCCACAAAGAATATACTTATTTTTTAAATTGTGCCGACATCAGTTTTCACCCATGAAAGAGAAAGCGTTTCCTACATCCTAGTTCTAATAAACCTGATAATCTCAAACCTGCCCACAAAGTTTGGGTCACAAGGCAGGGAAGGGGGCAAAAGCTCTTACAGTGAATTTTCTCATCTGTAAAAAAATAAGTCAAAGTGTTAACAGTGATTTCTGCGGAGCAAAAGGACTCTGCGTGATTTCTTGCTACGACTTTCATAATACTTATTTTTTCTAATGAGTATATATTACTTTTGTAAACTTTTAACTGGTGTTATTTTAAAGAAGGGTCCTGATCTTTTAAAGCTATGTCCAGAAGAGCGTGCAGACAGGTAGTCTGGGACCCGCCCTAAAATGACAAGGAAGTGAAGGAGCCGGTGAGGGGACAGGAACGGAGAGGGGCCGCAGCTGGCGGCATTGGAGCTGGCTCACCGCGCTGGCTCCTGAGTGGGAAATGGTCCATAAGAGGCTTTTGTGAACTGTCAAAAATTCGCTTTCCATTCATTTTTCAGTTTGTTTTTTAAAAACAGTTAAGTGATCTTTTTTTATGCTTTCCATCGATGAGATAAACTTTCAATCTTTCGGAGGGTACTGTGTTTAAAAAAAAAAACAAACCCTACAGAGTGTGAGAGTTCCTAAAAGAAAAATTTCACAGGAGCAGGTTGTGGTGTGACATGTTCTCCAAACTTCCTTTTTTTGCTGAGCTGTTGTTTAACTGGCTTAGGGGAGAAACAGACGCTTCCTCCCAAGTCCAAACCCACAGAAAGCAGGCAGTCGGGGGGGCGGCTCCCCCTGGGCCAACCAGGCGGAAGTGGGAAGTAGGAGGGGGCGCCAACCTCCAAGGCTGCAAACACGGGCTCTACCCTGGGGTGCCAACCTCCAAGGACAGGTTAAAGGTCGGCCGCCCTTTTAGGAACCGCATCGGGCCGATGAGGGAACAGACGCACAGAACACAGGGCTGGGGATCCCCACTCAAGTCTGTGTCCTTTGTCACAAAGCTGTTCGTCGAAGAAGATAAAAGCTGCGGGCACCCCAAGGCGGTGACAAAGTGGCAGGGAGAAATGGCATCTGCTCGGCCGGGCTGGGCCAGCTCGCTGGGCCTCTGCTCAGTAACGGAGCCCGGGCTGCGCGTCCCCAGGTGTGCGTGCGCCTTTCACAATGTTTCCACGGGACAACTGTGAAGTGCCAGGAATTCCCAGCAACTCTGAGCCCCTAGGCGAAACCCAACCCCGACAGCTGAGCTGAGCCCAAGGGGCTGCCACCCTCCCCCGCCCCGAGCCCACCCCGGCGGCCAGGTGTGGCTGAGGGAACGGCCGGAAGCGTCGGGGCAGCCCGCCAGGCGGGGTCGGGACCCGGACCTATGGGTCCAGTGCTGTGGCCGCCTGTGCTCGCGAGGCTGGTCCCCCAGTCGCTCTCCGGGGCGGTCCCCGTAACAGCAGGTTACATGGGCGAGCACGGGGTTACGGAGTGCGGAGCACTGGCGTCATACTTCCGGAGGGGGTGCTGGCTGGTGGCGCGGGGGGCGGGGGGTAGGGGAGCGAGAAGCCGGCTCTCATGCGTCTCTCCCCCGACAGGTGCGGCAGGCAACTGCACGGTCTCTGTGTCGCAGCCGCCCGTCCTGGAGGTGGACTACACGCAGGGGGCCGTGACCGTGCCCTGCTCCTTCTCCACCACGGGGTGTCCCTCCCAGCCGCCCACCAGCCTGTGGTTCCGCCTCGGCGCTCAGCAGCTGGAGAGCCTCTGCTCGGACGGGTGCCAGAGCGAGGCGGACAAGTTCACGGTGAGGACGGATCTGGCACACAGCCAGGTCTCCCTCACAGTCAACAGGGTGACGGCCAATGACAGCGCCATCTACATCTGTGGGATAGCTGTAACCAGTTCGAAGGCGCCGCAGGCCAAACGGGCTGGAGAAGGGACGGTGCTGGTGGTGAGAGGTCCGTGGGCCCCGGCGTCCCCAACACGGCGCCCTGACCGTGACGCGCACAGTGACAGAGAACGGTGCCAGCTCGCTGCCCCAGCACCCCCTGTGAGCCCCCTCCTCAGCCTCCTCGGCCAGGGCCACGCCCGGGGCCGGCTCCCTGCCATGCCCAGGCGTCACGTGTGCCCAGGCGTCACGCGTGCGGGGCCAACCGTGCACTCCTCCTGTCCACTACGGGGAGCGGTGTGTCACGTGGAGGCCGAAGGGGGGCATGTGGCACTGTTGGCACTCTCCAGAGCGAGCCAGTACCATACCATCCAGAACAAAGTGGTGGAGGGGCATTGGGGTCAATAAATTGGACCCAGAAAAAAACATGCATTATCGAGAATAAACACGAATTTGGGGAGAAGCTATGGGGGTTGGGGCGGGGATCCCTGACCCCACCACTGCATGGACAGGAGAGAGAGAGATCGGTGTGACTCTGGCTTCTTGAGATTTGTGAAAACTCAAGACAATTTCCTCATTCAGGTGAGGACAGTGAACCTAGCTAAGTCCTATAAATTGAAGAATTTCAGAAAAAAAGCGTCACATGGTTCTGGGGTCAGGAGAGCGGGCAGTAAGGCCTTGGCCTCTTCGTCTCCTCCCTTAAGGACTGCTGGGATCGGTAAAACGAGGCCTCAAGCCGGGCCAGCCCAGCAGCCCTCCCGGCAGGACCTGGGGCCGAGCGCTGCCCTCGCGACCCCCGCTCGTGATTCCTGGGGTGTGCTACGGCTTGGCCGTCCATTCCCATGAGCCCTTAGTTTACTCTCGCCTGTCAGGATAAACTGTAAACGAGCTAACGCACAGCGCATTTTGACTGGCACCCGCCTTACAGCAAGTGCTCAGTCAATACCCGTGAGCCGCAGATACTAAAACAAGCACGCGACAACCGCCGGGCTACAATGTGGCCCTGACGAACACACGGGAAAACAGCTTCACTCCGCAGCAGGCTCTCAGAGACCGCTGTCCATCATTTCTACCAAAAACGATGTTAAGTGCCCTTGAACAAACTGTTTTGAACTGTTCCCCTAACTTAAAGTAACGCTTTATATAAACAGTGATCCTTAGCATCATGACAAGTAATTGAAGTTTTTTTCAATTAATTTTAAAAACGAGTGACCTTTCCAGTGTGATACATCTAAAGAACTGATGAGCTGGCTTTAACGATGTCATACACGTGGGTGTGTTCTAGATCAGGAGACCCCGAATGACTTTTAGGCAAGCAGCCCAGCTGGGCGTGACCCCTTTCCGCCTCTAGCCCCTGGCTTCAGCCACGCCCTGCAGGTAGGCGCAGTGACAGTGACCGTGGCGTTTCTGTTTTGGTGCAAATGAAGGGACGAGGGTTCTCGGCAAGGAAGTGCGGTGGCTCCTGACCGCCCTCACGTCGCTGCTCTCCATCTACCTCGTCGGGCTGGTGGTGGTCTTCTCGGTCCTCTCTGCGGTAAGTGGGACTTCCGTGCAGGGCATGTCCCCATGGTCTTGCGCATCAGCAGAAGGAAATAACCACCAGCTCCCAGCACGCGAGCCTGGGCAACAGCTCCCGCCCAGCGAGCATGCTCCTGCGCATAGGCAGATGTCTGCAGCAGACGGCATGCATTTTCATCCCTAGGATCATTAGCCAGTGTACGCAATTTACAGGGTTACCTCTTTAAAACCCATAAGATGGGAATGAGGGTCCCTCTTTATAAGCATCTTAATATGCCATCTTCCCGCAACGGGTGAGTACCATTATCTATGAAAGGTTTAAGAATGAGCAGAAAGGGGTTAGCAAAGAGATTAGAAACTGCCCTAAAATATTTTTTAAATGCCTACAATTTTTGAGAAAGAATATCTCCCGGCTGCTCTGTGCTATAAGAGGGGGTCTGGTGTATGTGTTTATATCGGGATTACTGAATTTAAATCCAGTAATCAACAGCAGTTTTGTTGTTATTTTATTAATTTCATAAAAGCATCTCAGAAGTGACATGAAAATTGAAAATTATTAACTTACTATATATCACTTAAATATTAAGTTAACTCGACTTTCCTTTTTGTCTTGACAGTCAAAACCTAACACTCGAAGAAACAAAGAAACAGAAGATTCACAAAAGGTACAGATCAATGCTTATAAAACATCTTTATACTGTAGCTACTTATAACTATTTCGAATCCAAAACATTTAAGAAACAGGGAGAGAGCATCATGTAACTTTGAACCACAGCTACTGTTTCCTATTGTTGAGAAACTCGACAATCTCAAGTGGTAAACTGTGATTTAAACCTCATAGTTCTCAGCCATAAATTCCGCCGTTAGCAGGAGGGGTGGCTGTGCCGAGGTGGGTGGGGAGGGGGCGGCAGGGTTAGCTTCTGGGACTGGCGGTAAAGAGGGCAAAGGCTCTGCTGACGTGCGGCGATCGGCACTTCTCACCCTGAGAGCGACCCTTTTTCTCACTTGTGTGTACAGAAGATGAGCGCTCGGCGTATATTCCAGGAAATTGCTCAAGAACTATACAGTAAGAGACACGCGGGAAGAAGCCAACAACACGTAAGTGTTAAAATAGCAAGAAGATTTCACGCAGACATAAAGCACGTTTGACTAAACACCAAAGCTACCGACAAGCCGTCAGCGGTCACGGCTTCCTTAGCAGAGTCTGGAAGAGGCCTCACGCGTGACGCCCTTCGAAAGAACCTGGTTTGATAAGTCCGTAACGAAGGACGTCTGATACAACACTAAAGAGACTGGGCTGGCATCTTAGTGACACGGGCTCTTTCAGAAGCACGCTGGGTTCAGGCGATGCTTTCAGTATAGACAAGGATGCTTTTGTGGGTTAAAAGCTGCTTTGTCCAGCATCCTGCACGCAGTAGCAGGCACTTAGGAGACGTTGCAAACACTTACGGATCAGATTATAGAGCAAGCATTACTTGTTGCTAATAAGGCAGATAAATGCACATTAGAAAGGATGCAGCTGGGAGGGGTGGGGGTGCCACACCTATGTGGCCCACAGCATGGTCTGAGGGCTCTTCGCAGCCCTGTGCAGATGAGATGTGGCTTTCGAGCCAAGAGAGCAGATATTCGGTTTCCATGACACGCGGCCAGGCCGCTCAGATCTGAATTAAAATGTGTACGAAATACGAAACTTCCGTGCTGCTAAGGTATTTTCCACTTAAACGGCAGTTGAGAGGCAAATGCAACAAGCTTCTGATAAAAGGAGTTTTTTCAAAGCCAACTTTTAAAAGGGATTTTCACCCAGGAGAGGGTATCCTCTAAGCAGTCATCCGCCCTTCGAAGCACAGGCAGACACACGCACAGAGGCCGCTCTGAATGATGACAGACGCCTCCAGTCTCTTCCGAGCGCGGCCGAGGCGGGTTTTCAGCGAGGGGGCAAAGGTCCGTGGCCCGAGGACGGGCCGCGAGGAAGCACTGTGCCGTGCTCTGACGTGGCAGCTGGACGAGGAAGCTGATTTCCCGTCCTCAAGCCCCACTCCAGATACGGGAAAGCGGTCACCCGACCTTTCAGATTACTGGCGGACTCGGGCCCCAGAACGAGGTGATGGCACTTGGCACGGTGTCTGCAGGTGGCGCCACTGGCCCCATGACCCTAAATATGGCTGTTGTTGACTTTTGCAGGAAAAGGACAACACTTACGAAAACAGAAGCGCACGTTGCAACTACGAAGGACCGTAGGGGCGCTTCTGCCCTCTGCTCCGTCGCCGAGGGCCTGGCAGCGGCGGCAGCGTCCATGGACGCTCACCCATCAGCTTTCAATGACACAGTCACAGGTGGACGGAAAGACGGCCGTGCCCGCGGACGGGGACACGGCGGCCAACAGTTACCGGAACACCGAAGCCCGACAAAAGACACCTGGAAACCGCTTTTCTAATGTGCTACAAGAATCCTAAGCAGTCTTACGTTTTCAGAACCTGCCGCGTTTACAGCACTCACCCTGTATTTGTTGCATTTGACATGCGAGCTGTGTGACGGCTGTCATCCTGCAGACGGGAGGCCGCACCGAGCGCCTCAGCATCGGGCTGTGCAAGTGATGGGCCCATTAGGCCAACTTGGGAAGGACAGAGGGAGGAAGGAACGCACCAAAAGCTAAGCTAGAAAAAGTCATTTTGCAAAGTGCCTCGGAGCAAAAATGACACCCTGTGGCATCGCCAGGGCCAATGGCGGAATGCAATTTTCTGCCAGGGCGTGCAAAGTGACTTACATCCTGCTACCAATGAACAAGAGCATCAAATGAGAGCAGAGTAAGAATGCAGTAGCCGAAACAGAAAATTCGAAGCAGAGGCCAGAAAAAACGGCAGAACAAATAAGCCACAGCCGACGCTAGAGGTCAGTGTCACGCCCAGAGCCGCAGGGCGGGGAGTGACCCCGTACCAGACAGTGCCTTTGCAATGCTGATTTCTCGCCAGCTCGGGAGGAGAGCGGGCGGGCGAGGGGCACAGCACGGGCAGCAGGACCAGCTCGCTGAGCACGCAGGTCACGCTGTGCTGGGGAAGCTGCTTTGCTGTCCAAGCCCATGGAAAGTGCCCGAGTGTGCGCCCGTTAGTAAACGTGGATTACAGCCTATTTTATTTCTCTAAAGTGTTTCTTTTAAAATGGTATGAAATGAAGTATATTCTTAGCTTTAAAACCCAGACAGGATTTTTAAATATTTTAAGATCTCTCTGAAAGTGTTCTGTACTGATGGCTTAAATCCTTGATCTCCGAGGAGCACGTAAACGCATCTTATTTGTGTGTGTGAGTGCGTGTGTGTGCGTGCGCATGGTGTACTGTGGGGGGGTTTGTGCGCACATGGTGTACTGTGGGGGGGTGCAGTGTATGTGTGTGCATTCACGTTGGTATACACGCATATATGTGTGTATCTTAGATAATGAAACAGAAATTAAACAATTTAAAAGTAAAAAGTAAGATACGGTTGACCTTGAACAGCATGAGGGGTTGGGGTGCCAACTCCCTCTCCCGCCGTGTAGTCAGAAATCCACATACACACTACGACCGCCCTGGAACAGAACCACTAAGAGCCCACGCTGACCGAAGCCTTGCTGACCACAGAAGCAGCCCATGTCACACATTCTATGTTCTGCATGTTATATACTGGATTCTCACAGAAAACTAGAGAAAAGAAACTGTTATTAAGAAAACCACAAGGAAGGAAAAAGACGCTTAATGGTCTTTAAGTGGGAAACTCTGGGTCTAAGGGGACCCAGGCAGTTCGAGCCGTGCTGTTCGAGGGTCAGTAGTTAGGAATGCTAGTATTCTCTTCTGATATCCCCAACCAGACTGTCTCGTGTCCTCTCTGGGATACGCGCCCCACTCCGAGACCGCCGGCGTGGATAAACGAATGGGTGAGAGCAAGCGCGAACACCACCCAGGCGGACGAGGTGCGTGCGGGGTTAGACCATTTCCCTCCCTCTTCTAGGAGTCATTACATTACTTCCAGGGCTGCAAATTCACTGTTCTTTGCGTAACTAATTGGCAGATCAAATCCCTCAGATAAACTAGTAAATCATGGAGAATATGCCCTCCCCACTGCCAGCCACGGCTGTGTTTCAAAGATTGATTTTTACGCTGAAATTTGGAATACGCTTTCCCAAAGAAAGTAGTGCCACCCCCACGGGTCCCCCGTGAAGTGCCCACTGCACGTGTCTCTCGTCTTCACGTTCACGCATCCAGCAGCCCTGTCTGTCGAGCGTCCTCTTCTGCACGGCCCAGGGCCTCCAGACGCCACCCCTGGTCACGCGGCACTCGTCCTTCCCAGCCCCGCCCTGTCCACTCTCTCGGGCTTCTGCACGTGCTGTCTGTCCCCTCTGACCGGTATTCATCTGGAACTTCGTGAAGCACGCCCACTCGCCTGCGCTGGCCCGCACGCCCCCTCCTCAGACTGTTGACTCTCTAATGGTATTAGTTTTCCTGCTACTTGGGCATCCAGAATTTTCGCCGAGAAGAATTCAGCGTTGGCTGTGTTTAGGTTTGAGTTTCCCACGACAGTGAAGAGACAGGAACAGTGAGAACCGGAGGAGTGACGGAGTGTGGCTCTGGTGTGTACGCGCTGACCCTCTCGACAAGACGCAGCACAGGACGCTCAGGGCAGGCCGTCGCTGTCCCTCTGCCGTGCAGGACTTGAGAGACTCGGAAGCCTCGGCTAACAGGCACAGAGCTGAGTCTGTGGAGCCGCGTCACGTAAAACGATGCGGAACGCAGACCCTGCGCCCAGGTTCACATGCAGGACGAAGACGTGAAATTATGGTTATTACCGTTAAGAGTTTCACAGGCAGATGTGAAGGACACCGACAAATACCTCAAGCTGAACTGTGAGCAATGATCAGTAAAGCCACAGGTCAAAACGAAACAACAGAACAGGATGATGAAATAAATCCAACACGTATCGAACCCCAGGGCTGAGACACACAGGCTGGGGCTGCATCCTGCACGTCAGATGAGTCAGCCTCACCACAAACCTCAAGGTGAGCATCGGCCCTGTTTTTACAGATGAAACGCCGGGCTTTATGAGAGGCCCAGCAGCGAGGGCTGACCCCCGGCTCACAGGCTGGCCCTCAAAGCCCAACCTCCTTCCACGAGACGCCCCTAAGCGCTACTTGTTCTCAGGCAGATGCGCGCTGTGAGGCTGCAGTGTCTCACTTAGCAGAACGAGAGAGATACCTGCCAACGGCCACCTCGCGAGAAGCGCAGGGCCACGCTGCTGTCACAGCAGTAACCTACTAACCTTTCAGGGAACACGCTATTTAAACAAGGGGTCCCAGACCCCTGGGCTGTGGACCAGCCCTAGTACCAGTCCCGTGGCCTGCTGGGAACCAGGCCACACAGCAGGAGTTGAGCAGCGAGCAAGCGAAGCTTCATCTGCGTTCGCAGCCGCTCCCCAGTGCCAGCATCACCGCCCCAGCCCCGCCTCAGACCATCAGGCACTAGATTCTCATAGGAGCCCTGGACCCCGGTGACAGAAAGGCTGGGGACCGCTGAGTTAAACTCTTCCAGAGCATTAAAAAAAACTGCCAAATTATTTTTCACAAAGGCAGCAGAGCATTGACACCAAAACATGACACAGATAACATCCTCCAAATAAAAGATCAGCTACAGACCAACTATCACTCATCGATAATATTAATGCTGACATTTTTATTCAGAATTTTTGTAAATACGATCTAGTGGTGTGTAACAAGGCTATCCTGCCTACGCCCAGAACTGCAAGGGTGGCTACATAGTAGAAAAGTATTATTAATTTAATAAGTCAAAGGAGAAAAAAAAAACAGGATGACTACCTCCATAGCTGTTGAAAACGCTGGTGAAAAATTCAACAGATTCCTAGTTTTTTGAGCTCTTAATAAACCAGGAGCAAAAAAGTATACAGTCTACAACCACAATCTCAACCTTAAAGAAATTCACATTTAAAGTAGAAATGTTTTCATTAAAGTCAAAAACAAGATAAAAATAGCCACCATTTTTTATTAACATTTTCTGGAATTAACTATCAGTTCACTTGGACCAAAAAAAAAAAGTCTAAAACTGAAAAGGAAGTAGCAAAACCAGTTACTGCAGATGCCGTAACTGTGTATCGAGAAAAGGCAAGAGAATCCATGGAAAAATTATTGGAAAATGAGATTTCAATAAGGTAAAAGATTACAAAATTGACAGACACAAAAACGTCAATTGCTGGTGTACACGATCTTCAACGGAAGAGCTGCTCGGACCACTCGGATGAACCTGGAGGGCGTTGGGCCAGGTGAGTAAGCCAGCCACAGACAAGCACTGTCACCTCCTGTGGCATGGAGACGAGTCCACTCGCAGAGCCAGGCAGCAGAAGGGCTGCAGGCGGCTGGGTGTGGGGGAGGCAGGAAGGTGTGAGCCAGGCTTCCAGTTACAAGGCGGTGGCCCAGCCACAGCTCGCGGCATTGCATGCGCACGGGAGGTCTGCCAAGAGCTCTCATCACACACATAGTAGCAGCGGTGTAAGGTGACGATGCCCACGAACCTGACAGTGGTAACCACGCGCAGTGTGCACACACTAAATCGTCACGCGGCACACCTTAAACACGTGCGGTTTTTATTTGGCAATTACACCTCAATAAAGCTGGGGAAAATATTTAAAAATTCTAAGAATGATAGAAGAACAATTTCTGCTTACAATCTCTCTCCTTCTCTCTCTCTCTCTCTCACACACACACACACCATTAGAATAAACCTAACAAACACTGTCCTTTGTGAAGAAAATGCTATGTTACTAAACCATAACTGACTAAACTGGAACACGCATCTTATTATTAACCACGAAGGCTCAACGCTCCCTAAATTAATCTGGAGGTTCAACGCAGGGGAACTGGACAAGCTAGTTCTGAAGTCGATCTGCTAAATAAGCCAAGGGAAGTGTGGAAAGGACCGGACTGAGGGGGGCCGAGCACTGTGATATTAAGGTGCATGATGAGCCGCAGTGATCAAAACCGTCTGGTTCTGGCACACACGAGACAAAAGCGAACACATTCAGCTCTTACCGTAAAGGTGGCGTTTCAAACACTGAGCAAAAGATGACGCTCCGATAATGGTGTTAGGACAGCAGGCTGGCAGCCCCACCCCTGGAAATGTGTCATACGGATCACCCTCAGCCTCACGTCCTTCAGGCCTGTTCTGTCACCCTCTCAGAGAGCCCCGTCCCTGAGCACCCTCTTTGAAATGACAGCGCCCAAACCCAGCCCCCTTTCCAGAACCTCCTTTTAAGCGCTCCAGGACACCTGTTGCCAGCAACCTACCCCCAGCACACAGGTGCCAGCAAGTCCTTTCCACACAGGGGAGGCGGCTCCGTGGCCAGGGGACTCAGCAGCCACCTGCCCCCTGCCCCGCACCACCGTCGCCACTGCAAGCTCGGCCCCTAGGGCCACTCGCTCAGGGCCGGAGGCGCACTCGGCAGCAGGGGCGTAAGACAGAGACGGAGAAGGGGACATGTGTCTGTCCAGTCTCTTTCCCACCTTCCCCTGTCCAAAGAACTCTCCGCTTTGCCTACCATCCGCACGACTCTAAACCGCTGGGTAAACGTTACGACAAGCATGGGGTCTGAGCAGACCGAGACCCGGGGGACAATGGCCACGAGAAGAAACGGAGGTGTGTCGGTGGCAACGCGAACCCTCAGCCCGACGTGATCACGCCTTACGATGCAGCTTTTCACAGACGTCTGTGACCGCGATGCTTACAAAATATTAACGGGGTACTTAAAAACGTCTGGAAGTTCTTAGGGTTTTTGAACCCCAGTGTGAGCTAGGCAGTGAATAAAAACTAAGGCTTTTTAAATATTAACATGTCTTATTTATACCGTAAATAAATTTTATGCAAAGAATGGGCTTAAAGTCATAAGTTGCAGCATGACCTGAAATGCAAACCGCATAAGCTACAACTATGAACTCATGTGACTACATCCAGGAGACAGAGTAAATACGAAGCAAGAGGAAGTCAAAGCACGTCTGGTGATACAGCCTTCCTTCAACGCCGCTGAAGAGCAAGGCCGTGCAATCAAAACATCAAAGCCAAAAACGAACGTTACATGAAGAATGACACATGCTGGAACCCAGATGGTCTTCCAAAGGGAAAAACAGGTAACAGCATTTATCATTTTTAGCATCTGGGACAAGAGATGGAAAATACAAAACAGCTATGACACTCGGCATGGACGTACAGGTGGATTAAAAGGCACCTTTTACTGCTGGAGTCAGCCTTTAAACTAATGAATAAATAAACGGTGTGAGCGCCACCGAAAAGCAGAAAACAGACCGTTTCAGGCTTTGATCCCGAGCAGGCGAACCCGGTGGGCCACCGTCAGCCCTGAGAAGGGTCGCTAGAGGTCTTTAACACCCACCGAGGACAGACGCTCACCAAGGTGGTGTTTCCCGTGGCAGAGCCCCATCCTTCTCCACTCCGGGCTGTGGTAAGAGGCGCAGGCACTGGTACCGGCCCACACCCTTATGGCTAAGAGGCAACCTGAGCGCACTTACCGTTTTCCACGTAGGGGTGAAAGGGCAAGACCAGGGCGAGGATGACTCTGCCTCGCGTTGGCTCCAAGACACTTCTGATGTCCTTTAACAAAGTCAGGGGCTGGTCACAGCGGTCCAGCAAATTCAGACAGCTGATGACATCATACTGGAACCCTGTATTCTGCCATTCGTTTATACCAAGCACTCTGAAAAAATCAGAAAGAACTGGGTTGATACAAACGCCCTTAAAGACAGCTTAAAAAATAACCGAGAAGCCAGTGAAGGCTCTAACTTCACCTTGTAAATCAAAGTAAACTCAAAATCTTCATTTATATTTGCAGAAAGAAAAGGGTCACGCAAGAAAAAAATTGCAACCATATTTCTTTAAATTTTGCATTTCATCTACTTCCAAATCTCAAGACATATAAAAATTTCTGTACAGGAACTAATTATATGTTTAATAAGCATGACAATATGGTGATAAAAATGATTATAAATCCGGAGCACCAAATTCTCCAACATCGGTTAATGAACAAAGGGTCGGTCCTACTTTCTACGCTCACTGGCATTTAATCATAAAATATATCGCATGTTCATGTTTTCTATTCCTATGGTGCCTCCTATTTTTAAGAATGGCTGGGGGTGGTTTAAGATCATTTTCACGTACATCCTGTCCTTTTGAGCACATCTCTGTTCCCAGGGCAGAGATACTATTTCACACTCCAGAATCTTCCTATCTGAATATGTTATAGAAGATAAAGCATAGGACATCCTATTAACTGTGTAAGTTTGTGAAAAGCACACTTAACAAACGACACTCGGCCTTTAATGTCACTCGCTCTCTCTCACACACACGCACACGCACGTGCGTGCACACACACAAAACAACAAGCACGGGGGAAGATGCAGAGAAAACGGAAACCTTGCGCCTGGCTGACGGAATGTGAAATGGCGCAGCTGCTTCGGAAAGCCGTCTGGCAATTCCCCAAAAAATTAAACATGGAATTACCGTACGATCCAGCAATTCCGCTTCTGGGTATATACCCCAAAGAAGTGACAGCAGGGACTCAAACAGGTCGCTGTACTGTGTGTTCGCAGCAGTGTTATTCCCAACAGCTAAAGGGTGGACGCTGCCCGGCGTCCGCTGACAGATGATGGATGAACAGATGTGGACTACACGGCTGATGGGCTGTCATTCAGCCTTGAAAAGGCAGGAGACTGACTCACGCTGCGGCATGGGTGAACGCTGAAGACGCTACGTTAAGTGAAGTACACCAGTCACCACGGAGCGAGTGCCGTGGGACTCCCCCTTTTTGAGGTCCCGAGGAGCCAGAGTCCCAGGGACACAGAGTTGAGGAGTGGGTGCCCGGGGCTGGGCCACGGAGGGACGGGGAGCTAGTGGCCAAGGGTCCGGAGTTTCAGGGGGGACGAGGAAAAGGTCTGGAGATGGACGGTGATGGTCACATAACCTGTGAATGTGCTTCACGACGCTGAACCGTACACTTAAAAGTGGTTAAAGTGGTAACTTCTATGTCATGTATTTCTACGATTAAAGAAATTAATTAAAAGCATTTCGAGAACGCCAGATTCCAACGAGGGCACAAGTCCCCGCCTCGGATTTCTCCTTCCCACGTTACGTCTCACCTGCTCTTTTCCTCCCAACAGCCCCGATCCCTTTAGTCCAGAAAAATACTGCCAAGGGAAGACGGTTTCTCTCGCAATTTCCATTTACTTGTAACGTGAAAAGGTTTTAAATTTTCTTTAAATACTATGCTCTCAAGAAGAAACAGCTCTAACCCCAGCAAATGCACCCCGACCACTCTCCAAAGTATACCTGTACTTCTTCTTCTGAAGCTGCCATATCATAGTTTCAGACAGCTCTGTGGCATAAATTTCTTCAAAATGAGGGCTCATGATTTTTGTGACTTCTCCATCTCCAGCACCTAAATCAAGAAGTCTATGGGTTTTCCAGTCCGGATTAATTTTAAGCAGTCTCTGAAACTGATCTGGTGAAAACACAAACATTGAGCCTCTTCCTAGCAACCTAGAGAAAAAAAAGGACAAAAATGGAAGTCTGTACAAGGCAGGCACGGCCCCCCACGCACAGAGCGACCGTGGGGGCTCAGCGCCAGCAGCTTTTTGAACTTGTTTATTTTACACGATTCTGTGATTAAAACGCATATTATCTTTTATGTGATTAAAAAGCAAAGTTAGTCAAATTAAGAAAATCCATCCAGATAGTATCGTTTGTCTTTGAGATCGCACATAATACCCCTCCAAAGTGGGCGGGGCCAAGGGAGGAATGGAAGGTGGAAAGGGACCGAGATGAGCAGGGAAGAGAGGAAATGAGTAAGAAATTAAAAGACGGATGCGAAGCATTTACGTCTCACAGGAAGGAACGACGGAAGGGGCGACAGGAAATGTGCACCTGGTCACGGAGGGGGCAGGCGGCAGGCACAGACCACAGCACCAGCCAACACTAAGCAGAAAAACCAAATCGGAGGACGAAAGCCTTTCTGAAACTAAACGATGGGTAAGAAAAAAATAGTTTTCGCATGAGAGACACTAGAGACGAGGGAAAAGACACCAGCGAATGTGCGACACCAGCAAATTTGCACTCGGAAGGCAGAGCAGATTCGCGTGTGTCGGTCTAGACGTCATGCGATTGGCTGGGTCCTATTATTTCTAAAGATCCTAAAAAGCACTCAGAACCAGCGATGTCACTGAAAACTGGACGGAGAGGAGTTAGGCTGGGGGATCGGAGACTCTTGGAAAAGAGGCTGCAGATCAAACCAAGTCCATGGAGGCGGCCCCGGGGAGCACATGCAGGCCAGTCGGACGCGGCGCTCCAGCTGCAAACTCTCGTGTCCCCGGGGGGGCGGGGGGCGGTCACACATCCCTCGGTGAAGTGGACGCAGACAGCTTGGCGAGGAAGCGGGGTGGCCCAGCCGCTGAGAGGCCTGCTGGGCAGCCAGAAGCCGCTCCCCCCACACCCCGGAGGCTGAGTGGAAGCCAGCCTAGGAAACCAGGTCACTCGGTCCTGGACGCAGCCACCGGGCACGGTCTCCTTGTCACATAGGGCCGGAGAGACGTGCGCCCTGGCACTCTTGGTAACGCTGGCTTCAGGAGAAAATCCAAATTCTGGAGCGCACGTGAGCAAGTCCCCAGCCCCTGCTAAGGCCACAGGGGCGTTTCCGTGAATCTGGGACCGCAGTTACAGTGGCTCTTCTGCCCACAGAAATACTAAACGCTGGGGCGGGGCAGACCTCAGAGACCAGCGAGGACTTGCCCACGACCCTGCTCCCCGCAGAAACCCGCATCTTGGGCAGACAGAGGTTTCCCTCCCCAGCTGCGCCCCGTCCAGCAGAGCAACAGGCTAAGTGGGCAGACCCAAGGGAAGGGGCTGAACCTACTGGACAGCGTCCAGAACTTCACGCAGGAGCCAGTCAGGCCGAGGCAGGGACGGAGGTCATGGGCAGCCCAGCTTGGGGACCCTGCTGGTAATGTCGGCGCGGGCTTGCCACAAGACCAAAGTCAGTTGTGACATGGTTCTCTAGCTTCAGTTTTCCCAGTTACAAATTAACAGGCTTCCCCGGCCAGCTCTCTGGGATGTACGAACTTTGCCGTAACAATCACAAAGTGCTAGGGGTCACCCGAGGCCAAGCATCAAAAGGCCTCAGGGGAGAAGCGCTGTCCTAGTTCTGAAGACCATGAGCAGCAGAGGCTCCATGAAGTGATCAGAACTGTCCAAAATAAACCAAAGTCCACTGAGCACAGTGTTTCTCAGCCAAGGCCAGCTTTGTCCTCTAGGGGTCACTGGGAGAAGGGGGGAGAATTTGGGGTGGTCACAGTGGCTTAGTGGACAAGACCAGAAGAGTCAGACTTCCCGCACTGTGGGTGGCGGTCCCCACAAGGCAGAACGAATCCCACTGGACACGCCGAGACGCTGCCTGGCTCAGCCCGGGGGGTCCGGCTGGTCGCCCCACGCAGGTGGGTGGCCCCCTCCCTGGCCTCGACTCCCCAGACTCCCCACCGTGAGTGACAGCCGTGGGATTTTTTTTTTAAGTTTCAGATAACCATCCTAGGTTCTCTGGCCACCGCCTAAATTCTCTCTGGATTTAGAGTCCACAGAGCAGGTGCGCCCCCTTATAAATATCTTCCTTATAAAATACACTGAGACGGCTCGAGCCCCGCCTGCTTGGCCTTCCCCTTTCCAAGCAAAGGAAGTCTGATAAGCATCTTACTGGCTTTATTCAAGAAGGTGCCATAGTAACTGCTTCTGTAGGAAACACCCACCCGTGATAACCCAGCACCGCCTCGAGTGGGAAGTACCACTGGGCTCAGCTGACTCTCAGGGCACGGGGCAAGTTTTGTTTCTGTTTTGGGGGCGAGAGAGGATGAAGGGTGAAAAAGGAAACCGGAAGTGCTGAGGATAAGGGAGGCCAGAGGGCCGTTTTGACTGTGCTGCGTCTCCGGCCAAACTGGAATCCCACGCGGGGGGTCCCAGGGCCTGGGCTCAGGGCGCGACAACACCCACATTATATGCACAACGCTAAATGTAAGGACAGCGAGGGGATCCCATCTTTCGTCCCTTTCGAAAGGTTAAAAATTAGAGCTACAGTGACTTGTCTGCTTTCCAATGAAAAAATAAATGGAATAGAACAGAAGTTCAGTGCAGCCAATTTTAGGAACAAAATGTCAGACCGAGTAGTATAAACTCAGCTACCAACAGAAAAATAACTGTCTGCTAAAGCCACCTTAAGGCAATTTCACAAAAACAATGAAGAAAGTCAAGAAATCTTGAGAAATGGCTCGCAGTGCCTGAAAACATCTTGAAGGACCAGACAATACACTGGGATGCAGACACTCAGCACGAGCCGGCTCCAAGCCCCAGGGGAAAGTCGCGGCCCGACCATGGTCGTCAGGGGCCTGCGGGCGTCTCACGCGAGCCCTGCTGCTGTTCTCTGGTGCTCGGGACTCTTGGGCCTTGGGGTGTTGCAAAGTGTGGCCAAGGAATGATGAGACATAACCCAGAGTTTTTCCCGTGGACGTGAAGGAGGAAGCCACGCCAAGGGCAGAGGCGGCCAAGGCAAGTTCACCGATGCTGGCGACAGACACGGGCCCTCCATTGGCAACGAGCCGCCCGTGCTGACAGGGCCCGCTATCCACGCTCCTCACTACTCAGCAGCATCCCCGGGAGCCGGCTGGGACCGCAGACCCAGGCCCCGCCCAGCCCTGCGGACTCAGAACCCGCATGTCAGCCAGACCCCCAGGATCCCGTGCACATAAAAGCCGGGGCGCACTGCCCTCACTGACCCCCACCACAGAAACGCAGGCAACGAGGCTGCTCATCACGGGACGGCAGAGGCTGCGGCCAGCAGAGGGCTGTCGCTGCAGGGTGGTCACCCCTGGAATGAGACCTCTTTCCTTTTTCCTTTTCTTTTTGTAAAGGAAAAACATCCGAGATGCACTTACCCATTGATAGATGTTCTAGACATGAACAGGCTAAACACGGAGGACACAAAGGAGTGATACAGCTGGATGAAGAGCCAGCCCGACTTCTCGATGCTGTTGTTTAAGAAGATCTGGGTCCCCTGATCGAGGTGACTCTGAACGAACACGGCCTGCAGGGACTCGCAGAGCTTCTCTCTGTTGCACACGTACCACTGAAAGGGAAGACGAGAGGTGAGAACGCACAGCTGCCCGTTACCTAAGAAGTCCAGGAACACACTCAGAAGCCCGAGCTAGACCCGGATGCCAGCACAGTGATCTGCAGGCACTTCTGGGGACAGCCTCGCCTCTGACTCCCGTGACCTAGGAAGGATAAAATGCTTCCTCGTGGGTAAGTTCTCCTTCGCTTCTCATGCCACTCAGGGTAGGGACGGAGCGCGGGGGAGGGGGAGGCCACTGGGGTCACTAGGCAGCAGGGCTAGGCCGCAGTCCAGGTCTTCCGACCCCGGCCCAAGCCCCGGGCCCGAGATCTGAGACCTTTCCTTCACTGAGATGCAACATAAGAAGGTCATGACCGGCACTGTCAACCTTGTTTTTCAGGTAAGAAAACAGTCACATAATGCAATGATTTCACTCAACGCCACCAAACAATCAACGTAGAGTAAGAGCAAGTTTCGACCCCTAGCGACCAGATCCTGCCTTTCCTCCTGCAGGCTCCACGCAGGCCTGTACAATAGGGAGGGACACTTGACCAGGTCACATGCCGTCCTCACAGACAGGGCAAAATGTGCTTGACAGTAAGAAGTTACCTGAGGTCACACTGAGATTAACGAGAAGACAGACGCCAGCCTAAGAACCAGATTTCCGGGACTAGGCTCTAAGTAGAATATACTTTTTAGAACAAAACGTAAACCCCTACTGTGCATGAATTTAATGTTTGCCGTCTGCACTTAGAGCAGGTGTCCCAGAAAAGGGGGAAGTCGCCTGCGAGGGCGTTGGCTGGGTCGGGCCCACATTCGAGGTCCCGCTCTGCGTTTCTGTGTGGGCTCAGGCCAGGCACTTGGCCTGTACCTCTCCTCGGCCACCTGTGGACTGAGGCACCAGTGCAACCTGCTCTGGTGGGTGCTGAAGAGTGGAACGTGGCAGCATGAGCGGATGCTCGGTGCAGACCAGACACCGAGAGCGGGCGGACGATGGCGAGTCAGCTCCGCAAACACAGCCTGATCAATGACAGTGAGCCCGACGGACACCGTGAGGACCACCTCGGCAGGCGGGTCACTGGCAATCCGTGGTCTAAGAAACCATCCACATGCCCCGGTAAGGAGCCCCGTGGAGCTTGCTTCCCCTGACAAACGCGACCGTTTGTCAGCGGTAGGGTCCCATGGCTGCCTGCACAACAGGGGACCAATTTCAAGTTTAGAGCCATCCTAGGCTCGCTAGATGTTGGCAGTGGCACAAAAAGGGACCCGTTAGGAACCGGGACACACGAGTGAACAGGCCCATTAAAATTTCGAAGGCTGACTGATCTTTTCACAAACCCCAGGCTGTAAACTGGATAAATCAAATATTTCCAACTGTTAACTGAGTTAATTTACCATTTAAACACTCACCAGAACTGCTTGGACCTGAAGACTCTGTTTCTTTTTCCGCCTCTATAGACAAGCGACGCAGCTTCTTACTTTCACCGAGTACACTCCCCACCCCACCCCCTACCCC